CTAATCGGTGAAAAGAAATAAGTATTTTTTTGTCCCGGAGTGTATACATTGTAATGCAATAAATTTCCATTTATACAATATATCATGGAATATATTATACAATATATACACATTATATATATTATACGTATATACGACGAAGATAGATACATTATACATATATACAGTAATAACACATATATGTTGTACATAATAGAATATAATATTTAATGAAATGAGAATTTTATTTTTGTATGATGTTTAATCGGTGAAAAGAAATAAGTAGAAGTGTCCAGTAACCTTTCGACTAATCCACGACTGGGGAATAGAAACCTTTGAAAGGGCGATGGTTGTCCCGATTCAATCGAATTGAATGTTCTTGCGCCGCGAGATCTCTCCATTCCAATCTCCAAGTTTCCATTACGATTGCGCCCATCGACAATAAGTTATTTATGTTACATTAGAAAACGAAATCATTCCTATCCATCTTGTCGACGAGATACTCTCATACATAGTAGGTAATTATATCTTTCACGATTACAACAGTAATACGTCGAATTGTAAAACACGCAATGTTTAAAAAATTACAGCTTGAAGAATGTAGTACAAATTACAAATTACAAATTCATCTATAACGAAACCAATATATAAATTAGGTATATATATAATGACATTTTTCATATTAATTACAGGTGAAAGGGGAAAGATATCTCGTCGAGATAGCATCTCATGAACGATTTTACGATGCGAGAACGTAACAACGGAAGACGAGCCTCGGGACAACGATTTACCAAGGTAATATCTTTTCCAACACGCAGGTATATATTAATCTAATTAATGATATACTATACAACATACGTTCTGATACAATTACAGCGGTAGACTTGAAAATAATATACATCGTTCACTGAACACACTGTATTACAACAAATGTCAACGAGCGATTAATCTGGCTGAAAGTGCTAGCTGAAATGAATCACGAAAGAAAGTCTTACGTAAACTGAAGAATATATTCACGTTTCTGTCGTTAATATCTTGTCATTAGATTTCGCATGTTGCACATCCGCGAACGCGGGAGTTACTTTCTTTTGGGATTGCTATTACGGAAACGCGGCTCGCGTGATTGAATTCCGAACGAATTCGCGAATAATTACTGCCATTATCATTCCTTTTTGCGGTGAACTGCAATTAAATGTATGATGTTTATTACCATTAATGCGTTTATGTAATTAAACGTATTAAATTAATGATTTATTATATACGTGCAAATAATTTTACGTATTATATAGTTCGATCAAATGAATAAATATGACGTGGAATTTATATAAATTGTAATTAAAAAGCACTGCCAGGCATTTATGAGAAATTTTTAAATACAAAATGAATGAGATGTGATTTCTGTTTTACGTATTCCCAAAAAATATGAATTTGCATAGAAATTCTAAAGAAAAAAAATTTGTATTCCCAAAAATATGAATTTGCATAGAAATTCTAAAGAAAAAAAATTTGTATTCCCAAAAATATGAATTTGCATAGAAATTCTAAAGAAAGAAATTTGTATTCCCAAAAATATGAATTTGCATAGAGATTCTAAAGAAAAAAATTTGTATTTGTATTTGAATACTTGCGTAAAAAATCCGTCTGGTTATGAGAGTTCGAAACATCAATAGTTTTTCATTCGTCAATCTATACGATAGCATAGACCGAACGATGTTAAACTTTTGTTCTCTAATTTGTTAAATCGAAATTATAGAGCGATGTTAATTGCAATTTTGTGTGTACTAACGTATAATTGTCAATTAAAAGTTAACTTCGTTATGTAATTGGAATTTCAATTAATTAAAGAGTTGAATACATACGTTCCAATTAATGGTACGTTTTAATTGAGGCAACATGGTGGTACGTAACATAACGAACATTGATATTTTCGTTAAATTTGCAACAGTTTAATAGATACGTTCAATGTAAATATAGGTGGTATAAATATATGCGAAGAAAGATATAAGATAGATTATTATTGTTATCGAGGTAATTAAGATATATTTTGAAAATTTTCTAGATTTCCTTTAAAATTTTTCTCTTTCATTTTATTATTAAATTATTTATAATCGCGACTGAATATTAGAAATTCTTTTATATTTTTTCGTTATTTTTAGATTCAAACATGGTTCGTACGTTTCTTAAAAATTCATTGCGACATTCATTGCAACATGAAAATAACATGAAACACATTCTGATACAACTCTGATCGAAATCACATAGAATACGATATGAGAGACGAAAGGAAAGAAAGTTAAAAAAAACACAAATCTAACATGTTATAAATAAAATAACAGAAAGTATGGAATGACTTTATTTAAAAAAAAAAAGAAAAAAGTATCATTCACGCTCGAAGGAATTGACATCATCATGAGAGAAACAGAAGAATTAATTATTTTAAAATCAATATATATTCTTAGGTTGAATAATTCTTTAGGAAATGTCTGTAATACGAGGTCTTTTAAATTGTTCCATATAATAAATATGTAATAATAAACAAGTTATTCAAATAACTCTATTTTCAGTTGTTACAAGAATTTGTACAGTTGTACAGAGAAAAAATGTATATCGATTATCAGATAATACTTGACTTAATTAAAAATATTTGTTTTAGAAGTTGTGCACATCTACCTCGAAACGACATTTCACAAAAATAATTTAGCTAGCTTACAAAATGATTATTTGAAATAGTTAGATTTAAAATTAGATTTGGCGTATTAAATTAAATAATACTTAATACATCAATACTTTTATTTTAATAGAAATTATTTTGCGTGTGTTTCAAAAGTGATGCGACGTGGGAGCTTACAAAATAATTATTCGCTGTACACGTAATATTGGAAAAAGGAATGGTCAAATATTAATTTTCCATTCTTAGCTCAAATATTAAATTTCTATTCTTGGGTCAAATATTAATTTCCCATTGAAATCCTTGCTTGACGATTTTATTGTTCTCCTGGCACAGAAACTGAATCATTTAAAATGGCACACACACACACGTGTCATTTATTACGTGATAACCAGACTGCGGATATTTATGCATTTATAGAAAATTTAAAGACACAAAAACAAATACAAACGTATAGAATATCGTAAAATATGTCTAGATTCTACTTTTCAAGTTACTTTTACAAAAATGTGAAAAGTTCAATGCCATAGTAATCTAACAATACCAACAATAAGTAATCTTATCTGCATTCGTTCAAAAAAAATATTGTTCCTCACTGATAAATATTCAAATATTAAATTTCCATTTACACGTTTAACATGCATATGTAACAGCCCATTGATACCAACAATAGGTAATTTATTCGCAGAATCAAAGTATCAAAGTTAAATTACGAACTAAATCTCCGTTTACAATTCAATTTCCCAATGTAGAGTATACTTAATGCTACTGGCAACAGGATCTACTATAACAATAAAGTAACAATGCCATTACCAATGAGTATCTCGTGTTTATTTATAGAAACAAAATACATATATATCACGTTCACTTTGATTTTTGCAGATTGTTGGAAAAAAGCTGCTCGCTCAGCGGCGAGATCAGTAGCGACCGCACGGATCATTTCCATAAGCTGGTACCATACCATGGCAGAAGGGAAGGTGAGAAAGTGGTGGAAGTTGTCGAATATTACAACCTCGATGGAGAATGGTATCGGGCTAGTCTGCTGTTGATCGTGGTACCGTGAACCACGATCTTTCTTATTCACGCGTGCACCGTGGGTATAAACACGCCGGCAAATCCCTCGGGTGTCGTGACTGTGTAACATAACTCG